CATGTGCATTTTGGAGTCCCAAGGGCACTTGTAGCATCCATGGCACTAATGAACACATTTTCTCTTCTTTTGGTGTTTTAGCAAACGAGTGATTTCATTACTATGTACCCGTTAACTGGCACATACTACTGAGATGAGTGTTGTTGAAATATTTATAAACATTATGTAGTAATCATATCGTTCTTCCAAAAGTTTTAGCTTCATGCTGTTTGCTCAAATATCACACAAGGTCCCATTTATAGCACTACTCCAATTCACTGATAAATGTAAAATCATTCTTTTCAAATATGTACCGCTTTTTTTTTGCTTGTAAACTTTTCTGTACATAGACATTTTGAATCTATATGAGAAATATTAAATGCAAGAAAACTTGGTCTGGAATTTTGCTGCGATGCATTAAGTATTCTTCCCATTGATAAGTGTTATTATGCATTTGAAACTGAAGAAACAGTGCCTGGGAATTTTTATCTAATGATCTGAGTAGTGACTTAAATGTCTAGAGTGCTTTAACAGTTTCAACTGAGAAAATAAAAGTATAGTCCTATTTGTTTCAGTGGGACCCACTGTTTGGAGTTGTAATAGTTTGTTTTGATAGCTGGGCCCATTATGATCATCTGGCTGAGTTTCAAAAGCTAATCACTTCCTGAGCACAGCAGGGTTTTTATTAAAATTGCTCAAATGACTGAGAGCATGGCAGTTATATTAGAATTATCAGTCTTCAACCTGATTTCTGAATGGAGGTTTGTTTGCTTTTACTGTTCACTTCTGATGCCATATGATTTTCAGAGTTAGTTGTAAAGTACCTAAGAGCTGCATTACCTTTCCAATTCATTTTAATTAAAAACTCAAAAATAGATTTATTTGGAGTGGGTACTAAACCGCATACACATTGAACATTTAGTTTTTCCTATCAAGAACTGCTTCATACATTCAACTAAAATTGCCTTGTGCAACACTTTAACAAGGATGGTAACCTTTACAAAAGCATGTGACTTAATGACTGAGTTAAAATGGAGATTTAAAATTCGTTTACAATGTGTCAGGAACATATGAAAAGGAAAGTGGCTCTGTGCAGCTGAATGCTGCCATTACATCTGTTCACCTGAGGCAGCCTAGTCTCAGAATAGAAACAAAAACAAAAATTGCTGGAAGCAGGTCTGGCAGCATCTGTGGATAGAAACAGAGAGAACGGTTCTTAACAAGGGTCATTGGAACTGAAATGTTAACTTTACTTTCTCTCCACAGATACTGTTAGATCTGCCAAGTTTCTCCAGCAATTTCTGTTTTTGTTATGGATTTCCAGGATCTGTAATTCTTCGCTTTCTTTTTAGTCTCAGATTAGCCCCAGGAACTATTGTCAGCCCTGTGCTGCTAAGAGCTGTGGCACAAGGAAACCCAGAAGCAGTTGTTGGCAACAGTGTGGCTGAGAAGCTGGGCGTGTACGTGTCTTCAGACACTGGAGTGTAGGCACTGTAATGCAGGACAGACACAGTAAGAGCTTGGCTCAGCTTAAAAAAAGACAAAGAAGGCTGAATCTGGGAGCAGATTTGAGAAAAGTATGCCTTTTGTCTTAAGTGTGTGTACTAGAATTGTGTAGAGAAGAGTGTAGAGCTGCTGTTGGCTTGGGGTCAGACTAGCTCTTTGAAAGAGAGGAGGTGTATTGCTTTAGGAGGAAGACAAGAGTTTTAAAACGTTTATGTGACTCTTTTACATCCAGGTATGTTGCTATGAAGATTTGTGGGATTTGCCTTGTTTTTGTCTACTGTTTCAAAGTGTAGTTTGTGATGTTTTTGACCATAGTGTACTCAGCAATTCATATCTGCCTCATGATAATTTTGAAGTTACAACAGGTTGTGCTAATTGTTTGCTTTGCTGTCTCATATACAGTAAAATTTCTTTTGCTTGTTGAAAATCATGACATCTTATGACTTTATCCTCTTAGTGAAAAACTAGGATTTTAAATTTCATCAACTTTAAAAAAAAATTTAAACTCCTAACTGAATGATAATATATTTTGGAATCATAACAAAATTTTGGGATCTGGTCTGGGACGTTAAAAGATTTGGTTACTGTACTGATAATTAGCTGTTGTAGTGTAGTGTACGTAACAGTGTTTTATCAGAAGAAAGTAAACTCTTAGCTAGAAATTACAGGATCCTTTAGGCTGACTTAGAATTACTTTGCTTTAAGTTGAAATATTTGTAAAAATACTTAGGTCACAATATTGGGAATATCAACAATTGTGCAAAGAAGTGGATTCCAGAGGCCAGTCATTTTAGCTGGACTGTGGTTAAAAGAATTAATCCCTGCTTTCAGTGCTGCAGTCTGAACAGTTGGAGCTTTGGATTTGAGTTGCTGAAGCAATAAACAGCATTTTTGATAGCATTCTCTCTTCCAGTCACTGCAAATTATTTAAATAATCAAAAATATTGGAAATTCTAACAGTTTTTGACAAAAAAAATTACAATGCATTTACAGGGTAACATCTCTTTCAGTTACTTTATGTTGTATGTTTTCAACATACGCATCAATGGCACATTACAAAATTTCAGCACATGGAGTCCAAAAAGGATTATTTAACAAGGTCAAACTTCAACCTGGATTTGACCCAGGCAGTTTTTATTTCCCCTCAGCAACAATCTCAGTGAAGCAAACAGAATCTTGTAATGCGTCATTGATGTGCATACGAAAATGAGTAATGTAAAATAACTGAATGTTCTTGTTGAGTTACAATTGTATTTTTTTGTATTTCCAGAATTTATGGAGATCAAAAATAACAGTTACATTTCTTAATACAAAGTGAATACCATCATTCAATATCATAGATATTTATGTTGTTTGGTCATAGTTACTTCTCGTTTTTATAACACAGCATGCAGAAAAATCAAAATATACTGGAATGTCATTTTGTGATGGCATCAGATCAAAACTTAACACCCCTTTGTTAAACAAAAAGGTTTGGATCCAAAGACACACCAAATACTCTGCTCCTTTCATCTAATTATTGTGAATGGAAGGATTCTGGATGATGATATCTCTCTTAATCCTAGTAGAATATAAATTCTCAATTTGAAAACTGCTTCTAGGAAAACACGAGAGTACAAAGAATTATGCTGCTTTGTACTTTTCAATGACAGACACAATCAAGTTCACTTATTTACATCCTTTACCTATAGGTCACTGAATTTGTAAGGAAATCTAAAACTTGGGCACAATGCTGTGCAGTAATAAAAAGTTAAACTGTTCTCGAAAAAATACTTGAGAATGTTGTCATTAGAGCATACAGACGTACTAATTACCTTCTGTTCGGATTCATATGTTGATGCATAATTATCATTTTGAAAGAGATTGCATTTGACATTAAATCTGCAAATCTTCATCAATAGAAAACTGAACTTTGGTGATCAAAAAGACTAATTTTGGAAACAGACATTGACTATTTTGCTGCTCAAAATTAAACACTGATGTAGCAATTTTGACAGACAAGTTAGAATTTTCTGTTGACTTTACCAATGGAACTTGAGATGAGGGACACATATAAGAGCAGTGTGTACTTTTAAAGACCTGAACACTGCATACTTTGCACTGAATTAGTTAAAATTTTTTAAATGTGGCATTTTTCTGTCTTCAAAATTGTTAATTCAAAGTTATAAAAAGACTTTCAACTGCTGAGTGTCTGTTTCTTCAACTTTAAGCCAAATGAACTATTATCAGCTGCTATTAAATAGATAATTTAAATCCACTTCTTAAATTGGTCAAACATCCTAACTGCCTAATGAGCCATATTGGGTTGGGAATTCCTCTTTTATGAGAGAAAAGCAGCCTGATCCACGAATGAAACATGGGATGATACTTTTGGGGACCTGCAAGATCAGGAAATGTTATGAGTACTGTGACTTAATTTGGTGGAAATAAAAATATTGCTTAAAATGCAATGACTTACTAAGAAGCATAACAGTGATGGGTCAGGCCTTACACCAATCTGTGGCAGGTTCCTGCTGTTAATATATTTACATGCCGTGAATACTCATGACATAAAACATTTATAATTATGTCCTGCCTTCACAATTAAGTCAGCAGTGCGTAACAATCTTATGGTACATAGTTTTTGACATGCCTGAAGTCAGAAATTTTCTTTGTTGAATTCTGTGACACAAAGAAGGGGAACAGAAGATGGCAAAGACAAAGCAGGGGTGAGTTGTAAAAAGGACAGTTTGCAGTGGAGTTGGGGGCATGGAGGAGTGCAAGGAGGATAGAAGGGAGGGCATAGAGAGGGGTGGTGGGCATGGAGGAGCGGATGTATCAAATAGCAGTCTTGCTGGTTAACTGCAATGGCTAGCAGCATGCTGTACCTGTGGGGGAGCCTGGCCAGGACATAGCCACCCAAGGAAGGCATCATAGAAACCAGTCATTGGTACTTCACTGCGTCTTCGATATGAGGTGTTACAGAAGGAATGCCAGAGACAACTGAGGCTATCCCAGGATGTGACCACTGTGATTTACGAGATCTGCAGCCACACGGGTTTGGCAGGAACCCCATATCAAATGACCCTCTAGGTGACTGTGTGCACTCAATTCTATCATCACCAGTGCTTTCCAGAGGTCAAGGAGCAACACATGTGGCAGATCACAGATAGCCACAAGCAGGTTAACTAGCAGGAGGTTACCAATGCCCTCTTCCATTGTAAAAGCAAACTCATCAATTACTTGATGAGTGTGGGCAGCCAGGTGGCAAATAAATGGGACTTTGACATCATTGCTCATTCCCCAGAGCACGAAGGGTAATCTGCTGTAATCATATGGCTATTAGAGCTCCCTGGGATCAGTCCAGTGGGATTAATGAATCAAATAGGTTTTCTTTGAAAGTTCAATATGTCTGCAACCACAGGGCTCTGATCCCAGGGAGCTCTTACGACACGTATACTTATGTAACCCTCAGTTGCCTGCCTGGGTTGATAGCAGTATCTATTAATGAATACCCACCACCACCACATGATTAAATGTGTCCCCAGTACACACCATCAGTACTGCAAAATTTAAACAAGATTCGTGTGGAACGGACTCCCGACAATGTCAGCGTAAGTGCTGCCTTCTCACATCAGGAACAGCACAACACAAGTAAAATACAGCACATGATTTGATAAATGCAATTTTATTTCAAGGTTATTAATTGCTAAACAAGCCAGATGTATCCCTTTTTCCAACCTTTTGTCACATCTTTATAGATACAGGTGAGAAATTGAGTCAAAATATCACATTCTGTGAATCTGCAGTCCCTAAATCCATTTGCAGTTCCACTGCAGTGCTGTTTCTATTCAGAGTATGAACATTGCTACAATTTTTTTGAACCAAAATGCATCACCTCACATGTACTGATAATGAATTTGAACCTTCACATTTTAGCCCTTTCATGCTCTAAACATCATTTTTTGGTCTTTTAAATAATTAATGACAATTTCAATATTTATATCCTCTACATTATTCCTCTCTTTAGTAAAGCACTTATTAAATATTGATGCAATTTTCTAATCATCCACAAATTAGCATTTCACTCTTCTCATGAAGCCAACTTTTAACAATTCTGATTTTGCAGGTATACTTGTAAAATGCTTCCCTGCTGATTTAATTTTGAACTTCTTACCTTTTACCTTGTTCTGCTCTTAACCTACTTTTCTGTAGTTTTAATACACTTTAGGATTTATTTCGCTTTACTTTTATGTGTTTTAACCTCATTACTATTCTAGATATCCTCATTACTATTCTAGATATCCTAAAAGAATTAATAGTTTCCTTTTTAACTGGAGTATACTTTTGCTATACTTTTATAATTTATCAAACCTCATGTATTGCTCCACAAGACTGTGCTCCAAAATCTTCTTTCACAACATCTCATCTCATCACCTTTCTAAAATTTGCCTATTGATAACTAACGTTATGGTCTTTGTAAAGAATCATTCCTTTCTAGATGCATTTTTACTTTTATTGTGTAATGATCCTTACTCACTGACAGAAAATTGGCCAAACTAAATTAAATAGCAGCCAGCAGCCATTGGCTACAGACTACAGTGGAAACCAAGGCCAAAGTTGTCACAAAGGTTCAGGGGAACCAGTTACAACCAGCATGAGGGCTGTGTATTGGAGAAGTATTGATCAGACTTTCTGGCACCTTGACAGCCTGCAGTTATGCATTTTACATTTCACTGGCTTGGCAACACTGAAGGGTGTTGGTGCAATCCCATTGGATGTTGTGAACCTTGCTCATGACCACATTGGCCAAAAGCCACAGAACATTTGGGAATATCAAGAACAAGGGGGATAAAAACACAGAGCTGGAAGCCACACTCTCATTGAAGACTTGCATAAGCCTCATGGCAGAAGATTGTGCAGCAATGCAAGATGACCCAGGAGAAGATCCACCCTGACCTGTGAGACTCACCTTCATGAAAGAGAGACATCCCTACATCAGAGAGGTAGGAAATTTCAATGGCCCGGTTCAAACACATTGATTGTTGCGGATAATATCCTTTCTCAGACTGATGGAGCAAGATAGAGAGCAAATATTGTGGGATTTTGGGAAATGCTCATATGGCGTTTTTAATAAAGAATATTTTTTTAATAAAACTGAGCAGAGCCATAAACCACTTTCTGTGTCCTTTTGTTCACCTCATTGACAAGACTGCTTAGGTAAAGTGGTTTTAATACATCAACTGGTCAAAGAGTCCAAAGCATGGGCAACACATCACACTCCTGACTTGTACCTTATAGATGACAGGCAGGCTTTCAGGAGTCAGGAGATGAGTTACTCACTGCAGGATTTCTAGCCTTTGACTTGCTTTTGTAGCTATAATATTCATTTATGTTACCAGTATAATTCAGTTTTTGATCAATGGTGACGCCAAGGTGATGATAGTGATGGATTCAGTGATGGTGATGCCACTGACTGTCAAGTGACAATGGTTAGATTCTCTTTTGTTGGACATGGTCATTGCCTGGCACTTGTGTGATGTGAACTTTTTCCGGATGTTATCCATGTCTTGCTGCATTTGGTAATGGATTGCTTCAGTATCTGAGGAGTCACGAATGGTGTTGAACATTGTGCAATAATGAGCAAAAATCCCTACTTCTGACCTGATGATGGAGGGATTATCATTGATGAATCAGCTAAAGACGGCTTCTCTGAGGCCATTACCCTGAGGAGCTCCTGCAGGGATAACCTACAGCTGAGAAGATTGACCTCCAACAAACACAACCATCTTCTCTTGTGCCAGATATGACTCCAATCAGCAGAGAGCTTGCCCCTTGATTCCCATTAACTCCAGTTTTGCTAGAGTTGCTTGATGCCACAATCAGTCAAATGCAGCCTTGATGGCAAAGGTGGTCATTCTCATCTTTTCTATGGAGCTCTGAACCAAGGCTGTGATGTGGTCAGGAGCTGAGTGGCCCTGGTGAATCCTGAACTGGGCGTCACTGAGCAGGTTATTGCTGAGCAGGTGCTGCTTGAGAGCACTGTTGATGACGTCATCCACCACGTTACTAATGATTGAGACTATATTGATGGGTTTTAATTGGCCAGGTTAGATTTGTCCTGCTTTTTATGTACAGAACATACCTAGTTAATTTTCCACTTTGTCGGGTAGATGCCATTGTTGTAGCAATGTTGAACAGCTTGGCTAGGGTGTAGCAAGTCTGGAGCGTGACTTCAGTTCGATTACCATAATGTTGTCACGGCCCATGGTCTTTACAGTATCCAGTACCTTCAGTTTTTTTTTGATATCACGTACAGTGAAGCAAAATGGCTGAAGACTGGCATCTGTGTTGCTTTGAACCTGTGGAGGATGCCGAGATGGATCATCCACTCAGCGCTTCTGGTTGAAAATGGTTGTAAGCGCTCAGCCTTACGTTTTGCACTGATGTACTGGGTTCCCCCATTATTGACAATGTGATTCCATCACTTAGTGAAAGATTGAGAGTAAACAGAGAGGGAGGTAAATGTTTGGATTGGATATGTCCAGCTTTTTGAGGCAAGACACATCAGGCAATTTTCAATAGTATAGCTAAGCTGAGGTATGGTTGCAGCAAGTTCTGGAACACAAGCCTTCAATACTACAGCTGAGCTACTATCCTTTGCTCTCTCCAGCACCTTCAGCCATTTCTTGATGTCACGTGGAGAGAATCAAATTGGCTGCATCCTGGCATCTACAACGATGAAGACCTCAGAAAGCGGCCAAGATGCATCATTCATTTTGACATTTCTGAAGACTGAAGAAGAACATACAACAAGGAACAAGAGTAGACCATTCGGCCCTTCCAGCCTGCGTCACCATTCAATAAGATCATGGCTGATCTGATTTTAACTTCAACTCTATATTCTTGCATATTCCCCATAGTCTTTCATCCCTTGGCAACCAAGACTCTATTTCCCTGTGTCTTAAAAATATTTAATGAGAAAGCAGACGATGCAAATGATTACATAAAGAAGGAATTCAAGTGCAAGTTTCTTATAGGTATTATTTATATGCATCTTTGATTGACTGTTGCTCATGATTTTAGGACACACATATTTAAAATTCCTTTCTTATGTTTTTCTTACAAAAGTACTTCTCATATTCAGTTTTGACTGTTTGTCAAAAAGTATCAGAGACACGTGGATAGGTCAGAGAGTATCAGTGGTCATTCAGCAACTAACTGTTGCAGTCTACTCACAGATGTAAACTTAACAACCACACAAAAGGATTGGTGAAACAATGATGTGGTTCGTGATTTAAAAATATACAGATGCTGTTCATGAGGACTAAGTATAGTATATTGGAGTTCAATCACTGCTGCTTCACACTGCTTCAGGTCATGGGACTAATAGATCATATCCTGTTGTGGTAGATATGATTGACAGCTGTTTAAAATATGCCCTCTTCAATGTATATACACACCATAGCACAACATTAACTGGTTGGAATCTCAATCAGTTGCATTCTGGTGAGTTTTCTCTTTTTCAAGAGTACAGTTAGAGCCTTACAGTTATTCTAAATCTAAGTAATGCATTGATAACGTTCATGTATCCATCTATTG